TAATTTAGTAATTTTTCCACTTGTATTATAAATTTACGTTGTGACTAATTTATTATTAGAAATAAGTGTAATAATTTTTACACTTTTGCAAATTATAGGTACATTTAAACATTAGTATGATATTGTTCAAGTAATAACCAATGAATTAATTCTTTTCTTGTGTTATAAATTTATGCCATAAACAATTTATTATTAATAAGAAATTGGATTATTTATACATTTTTATGAACTATAACTGTATTTGAATGACGTCATTGCCAAGAATTCTGTCCACTTACCTCTCGCAGCCTCAAAAATCATCAAATGCTTAACTGAAACATCGAAAATTTACAAAAGATAGGAAATATTTTAAACTTTGTGCGTAGCTCTTAGCTTGGTATAGTATCCCAAAGATTTGTCTCTGGAAAACGATACCAATTACCAGGTTTCACCACGTGGAGGTGGCTACGCATCGAGACCCAGACATGCGCCCTAGTGACGCAACCTACTGGCGCTGTCTATATCAAAGATACTCTAATCTAACTTGGAGCGAAAGAAATTAAAGTGACTCTACAGACACTGTATTAAATATCGTGTCTTACAAAGGGAACTTCGATTCGGTATATTAAAACTTTACTGTCGCAAGGCTAAGATATTTTCAAGTTTCCATAAAAATAGGAAATGAAATATCAAACACGCGAGCAAATAGAAAATCGCGACGCGCTCGAACGAGTTCGCGATTATTCGAAAGACCGACTAGCGTACGAGACGTACTCTCGTGTACAAGACAACTTCATGCCTCGGCACCCTCCCGATCGAACCTAGCCCATCCTGCCCCCACAGACCCTGCCATGACTTACTCGCGACCGAGAGCAGTCGACGAACTAGAGAAACATCCAAAATCAAGCCGAGGGTCCCTAGCGAGGCCCTGTAGCCGGTCACACAGGCCCCTGCCACATCGAGGAGAAATTAATTATCCCATGGGATCTGACCGTAGGCCCATATGCAGTGTCACGGCTACAGGGCCCATACCCCGGTCGTGCACACGCTGGTGCCCAGGACGACTAAGGCCGACAGACCCTCGTATTGATTCCAGATGAGACCCAGCCCGCCGACCACCCTATATCGCTCCTTATATAGCCGCTGATCGGCCAAGCTCCCCACCCCGATCTCAAACTTTCGAATTTTATCGATTCCATTATTTATTATTCTTCCGCTTTAATAGCCAATAATTTATTAATTTTTGCACTTTTATTATAAATCTACGTTGCGGACAATTTGTTACTAACAATATTAATTTGTTATTAACATTAAGTACAATAATTTATAAACTTTTTGCAAATTATCGGTATATTTTAACACAAATACGTTCATAAATTTAAGTATTAGTCAATAATTTATTAATTTTTTCACTTTTACTATAAATTTTCGTTGCAAATAATTTGTTATTAACAATATTAATTTGTTATTAACGATAAAAATAATAATTTATAAATCTCTCTAAAACCAGCAAAACTAGCTAACACTAGCTAAAAAAGCTAAGCGATGGAAGGTATACCTGTCTTTTACCAAATGTCATTGGTATATAGTACTGGCCTCTGTGTACATTCTGGTGCAAGAAACACGTCCCTACTCTTCATTTCTAATGTAATTTTGTATCGCAATTGAGATTGTTTTTGTACGCTTACGCGAGCGGTTTGAAACTCGTTCAATCTTTGGACATTGTAATAACGTTTTGAGAATTCTGCCCTAGATAGCGCCACTGAACGCTTCAAAACTGTAGACTACAATCCAGTGGGTACATTGTTGTTCGAATAGAAGCTAACATCGATTAATCTGACGATTTTATCATACTGAAGATATACTATTTTGCTACTTTGTAATGAGTATACAGTATTAACAATAAACCATTTGTTTACAAAAATACCCCTTATTTATCTCTTTTCAAAGATGCACTGCTCTATTTTTGAGGAGGCGAAGTAAATGCTAAAGTTTTCAGAAAATTGTTAAAAGTACAGTTTTTTATTAGCACTTAAAATATATGAAATTCTTCTATAAGATCTCAAACTGTCAGAAAGTTAAACATTGCCAACTACAAAGTGGCATGTATTACTATGAACGGCAGTAATGTTGCTGCAAATATTTTAGAAAGTAGCCCAACGTAGAATAGAGATTGCCAGCAAAATGCAAGTGCTTCATACACACCAGGCTATTCGATACTATTTGCAACAAAAACGTACGAAACTACAATCACACTGACACGTATTTTCAACACGATGAGCCAAATTTAAATAGGACTTGCAGCAAAAACCGTGCCAAAAAGAATTATACGTAATCGTTTTAGATTTACTGAAAAGGTTTGGAAAACTTAGACATGAATAAATAATTACTTAATGAATATCGAATCAAATTATCAATTGCGAAACAAATTAAATTGCAAAATGAATACGCTCGATCTAATACATGGACAGATAGATATTAATGCGTTGCAACGTGCACCAAGTTGTTGCGCTCATGAGTCTATACACGATTTAAACTGTTACTTTACAATCGCACGAATAGCTCTAGACACTTAAGACTGCCTCGTTTGTCATCTGTGTCTTCTTTCGTGTTCGTTTAACAGACTTGATGAGCTAATAGTGGTCCAAGCCGAGGCACGGGACAACAGCAATGCAGAAATCCCTTTCGGCTGCAATCTTGCGGGTTGTATGCTCGTAGCTAAGCCGCGATCGCGTCAGGCTTCGAATACGCGTTCCACGATTATAGTCGTCGTGAAAGAAAAACAGTTGTTATCAATTATCATGCGAAGGTGCAGTGTCGTTCACGACGAACGCAGAAAGCAGAGTGTTTTTCCGGAATCGATAGTGGGAATAAGTCGCAAACGCGGATAAAAGGTGAGCGATTGAAAATATAACGAATATAATAAGTGTAAAAAATATAGAAAATGTTGAAAATGTAACTATACGTATCTGAAACTTTTAAGATGTAGAAATAATTACTGAATCTCATACTTCAGATTCAACTGTAGTTCCTTAACTTTAATTGAGAAATCTTCTAATCGCTTTCAACGATGTTAACAACGATATACTATCACGTTTACGAATATGTACCTTTGCTTTATTGTAAAATTTTTCTTTTATAATTCCCAGAAGAAAATATGAAATTTATTAAACGATATAAGGAGACACGCTAACTCGAAGTCATTGGTCATTGAGGCGTTCGACGTCAGCATTTCAATTCAATTACTACGCAAAAGGTGTATCACAATTGAGATGGAATGAACCATTTTGCGGTTGATAGATTTCTGCAATATATATTCCTGCGTTTCTCAGCTCGTATATCGTGCAATCTGGAATCCATTTGTGTATTATGAAGAAACGTTCTATGTCCGGAGTTTTCGAAATAGCGTCCCGAATTACATAAGCATTATTACAATTACACGGGCGTGTGTAGTCTTAACGAGCTGCAACGGACAATTAATTAATTGATTAAACAGTACTGCTTGAATGGATTGCGTAACAAAACGTTTCACGATATGAAAACTTTACCTGTATCATTTTTATTGTCTTTTTAATCCAACTTTTCTTATACTTAGAACTGTCTTGAATTACTCAAAAACAAAATTGTATTTTGAAATAATACGTTTCCTATCGATATACATTTCGACATTGTTTCTTAAAATAATTGTAATGTTATATTTTCAAATCATTAGTTTCAAAGTAATTTCAGTGTGATAGTTTCGAAGATCTATGTCCAATCATAGTCTCCAAGGTAATTTCAATATTACAGTACTACATACTTATGTGGATTCAATTCTACTCGAGATCATTTATAGCTTAGTATATAATGTAGCTATACTTCCTGGACTCTCGTTCAATTTCATTCTAGGAGTTTCATAAACGAATTTACGAACACAGACTATAATACTACTGCAATCCTTCATGCAAGTTTCTTGCGAGACTTCTCGTCACATCGTGTCACGTAACAACTAGGTCATCCACTTCTTTCTCTCCCTTTTCTAGTTCAAGCAACCTCAGCCACCCTCTCCGTATTAAAATCCACACTCTCTAAAGAAACCATATATCCAATAGTCCGTTATACCTTCATTTTCTTCTTTCTGAAAATACATCCGAATTTTCATAAAGATTTTCAGAATATCGGCGATCGTTGGAATTCTAAAACAGAAAATTGGCCCAAGGGCAATCGATTAGGCAAAGTACAATTAATTCGGCTAATTCAATGACGGTGACCGTGGTGGCCAGATATACAACGTCCCTGTCCTGCCGCACTGTACAGGGTGGATTGATTTTTCGCCCCCTGACGTCACCGGCGAGGCTGGCATGCGCGTAAACGCGGCATCGCCAACCGTCCTGACTCGCTTTATTTCCTCGTCTCGACTTCTGTTTTGCGTAACCCACAGTCTGATATCCCCTTATCGAAGTCCTACGATCTCGATGATCAAAGATAGACATTCCCCAAAGCCTCTAATCTGCAATCGAAACGACTAACTCTTTAATATCTAGTTTAGATTCGAAGGTACATGCTATTCAAGGAACGGGAAAGATAATTCTGTCGGTTCTTTGTACTTGACACAGTTAGGCTGATGGCAAAAAGATAGAAAAAGAGCACAGGTTAGAGATGTGGTTAATTTGTGATAGAGACACCGTTTCGTGGGAGATAGTTCACATCATGTAGAATTCAAGGTTTGAAAGAATCGTGTTACTTAAGAACAGTTTCTTTAAAGCAGAATTAAATTATTTAGAATGCCAGGATATGTAGAATTCAAAGGCAAGATCAAGTAAAAGTTAAACATATGTGAACATAAAAGAAAAATAAATTCTGAGTGTACTAAAGGCAACGTCCAATTAAAGCAAATTGTAGATGTTGTAATTTAATTCGCCATAATTTCTTAATGATTATAATTGAGTTTTAACTGTTATAACTTAAATTATTGTGCACACCTAAAAATCTCACGATAAAACTGGCATTACTAAACGAAAGAAGGGGTGATAGGGTGGCAGACTGAGGTGGTAGTGGCTTGGGAACGAGTCGGGGTCAGAGACGAGTTCATTCAGTGTCGCGTGGTTGGTCGACTGCTAGTTATTTTCTCTCACTCAAACTTCTGCAAAAATCCATATTCTCCTCCTTTTCTGTCTCACTGATTCCCCCTTCCTGTGGTGCTCTGATTCCCTCTTCCTCCGGTTGATCCGTGGTGTTCGGAGGGCCACAGCGAGTTTGTCGTTGACGATGGAGTTGCTCGTGAACTCCTAGCCGAGCACACGTGTGTTGTCGGGACGACGAGACGCATTTCTAGGTGACTTAACGTGATCTAGTTTCGCGTCCGTGATTTGAATATACAAAAGCTATCGTTTATTCGTTGTGTATAGTCTTCTCTTCTGGTTTCAATACTATTCCATTTCCAAAAAGAAAAAAAAAAGAAATTAGAAAAGAGTGAAAAGTTTATACATTTATTCTGAATGAATTGAGTTAATTTATGTTTTTATTTTTAACATAATTTTTCAAATCGAAACAAATAAAAACAATTCTCGCTGCAGAAGTATATTATAAACATGACTGTACTGTGTTGTTATATACTCTTTCCTTGAATACTTCATACTGTATACTTGACTCAATGATACTGAAATATGAAATAAATAGCAGAGAAGCGTTATAACCATTCTTCGTTCGCTTACTATTGAAAGGTAGAGTACCTACAGAAATTCCTAGTACCCAGCGAGCAATTACCTTTAGCCTTAAGCGCTGAATTTTGGCGCACGTAGGCGCCACTAGTAGACAAAGGGCTGCAGATAATACCAAAATTTAATCCCGTTCTCTTTTCCATTAGAATTTCACGATGTTCCAATCTCTATGATCATCCTAAGACAAAAGAAAATCTAATGAAGTTGCAAGATATTATATTTAAAAAAACGAAGTCATTATCACAAACTGTTCAACCAATTGTCAATATCGAAACAAGTGGTATACGTGATGGCCGTCGAACGACGAGGACCGATCTAAATCCATGAGAGCTGTCCACTATGCTCGGCTGCTTCATTTCCTCCCCACTTCTTCGATTCGCCAGGACGTCAGCTGGAACTTGCGTGGTGCGTCCTGGGTGTGCAGCGTGTCGCTGCAGCTTCTAGTCCATTGTCACGATCTGAAAGACGATAGAGATAGGAGGAAAGGAGAGAAATCTGCGGTGAAAGTCGACTAGTTGACTGCGTCTCGATTAAGCTCCTGTCATCAAACTGCGATCTACGTAACCTCACTTTTATCGTTTCGTTCGGCTGGATTTTTCGTCTGTTACAAAGTCGCGTGAACATCGTGAAATGCGAATTTATGAACTCGTCTTCCGCGAACGATGACACTGTTCGACTGAATATCATAGTGCGAGTGAATAGATTTGATTTCGTGCATTTATGGGATTCGTTTTGTTTACGTACTTAGTACGCTGCAGATATAAAAATTCGGGCAAACAGCTTTGCTCGTATTTCGAAAGTCTCGTGTGTTTTTTCGCCTTTCAACGTGTTCTAAGAAACCGGTGTTAAAAATTCGTATTAATTGGGTAGTGATCGTCCATGTCTTCGTATTGAACCCGAGTGAGTGCTGTAAGAAAACGAAAGAGTAAAAAGAATACTGCCAGGTTCAAGAATCGTTTGTCAAATAAATCAACCACCTTCTAACTTGGTAAGTGAAACAATTTAAACTTGAACATCGTAATGACGCAGGACACGCATATAAACGACGTCAGACGCATTCAGCCGGCGCATCACTCTATCGTCGTTCAGTTATTTATAAAAGTTTTAAGATGATCATTTACAAGCACTTGGTTTTATGAGGAAAACCGGCGTCCGTACAAAAACATCATTACATATTAGCTATTTGTATCAGTCGATCGTGCTCTCTATACTTTTTCTCTGTCTAACCTCTGCTGTAACTTATGTAAGAGACTACACTGCGTGCAGCTTATGTCCCTGGGGTAATATGTTATTCGAAGCGATCACTCGTAGATTTTGTCTTTATGCAATTTCATTCTTTCGTATGAAAGAACTGCGTGTCAATCTTGATGTTATGTTCTCCAAACAAATGTTTATAGAAATCCTACGCTGTGCGTCAACAGCTGATGGGGCCACCTATAGCGAATAACTTCGATTAACACGCTCCCTGTCGATAGAGATGTGAGCAATTATATTCCTCCCTCGGTATCTATTTTACTTAAATAGCGCAGGGAATACTTTCATTCATGTAATAAAAATATTACTTCCATCGATTAATTCGGGCCAACAATGTTTCGTATACTACGAAATGCTTGAATTATTAATTGATTATTGTTTAATTAGTCAAATCAATCCATTATTTGGAAATAAAATTTCTGAATATTTCAGCATGAAAATGGTAGAAGAGTTGCGAACGTAATCGCGCGAGCGTCGAAAGCGATTAGCCGCTGAAAGAGGTCGGCAATAGGAGCAGCGTTTACTTAATTAATGCGGCCGCTGCGCGGCTCGTTGACCCCGCCGCAATTCTCGGACTCTTGGATCGTCCTTCGACGAAATTGATTTACCAGCCAGGCAGGGACGAATGTTCCTCCGTCGGTTGAAATGCGCCATTTTTCTCTTTTTTCTCCTTCTTTCTTTGCGCTTTACGTTTCTTTTTTTCGTTTGTCTTGCTGACCTCACGACAATTTGTTCTTCTGCAATGCGTCAGTGGACCTTCTACACGCAATAACTTATGCACGTCATCTTGGGGTTTACTTTTAAGCAATTTAGCTACTGGGTATCGATAAAATTGCTCGTTTTATACGAAAATTAGTGTAATTATTATAATGGTAGGTTATTTCGCAAATTGTTTGTTTGACTGTTTTTGAAAGGTAAATATATATATAATGGGTTTTAAAAAAATGTTGGAAATCGTTACTGGATTGTAAAAAATTAGACAAATGTATAAAAAATATCAATGAATTAAAATGAATCATAGTACCAGATGAGAGATATAAAACAAAATTTGTTTGTTTCTTCTGCGCTGCTTGCTTACCCACGAGCGAAACGCAATTACCGTCGCATCATTTACGCCTCTTTAAAACATTAATTCGAGAGGTCGCCGCTGTACAATTTTTATAACTCTTAAAATAACAACCTATGGCGACTCTGTCTTAGATCTACGGGAAAAAAGGAATTATCGATTTTTCCAAGTATCGAGAGTTTAAATACTTTTCTGACGAAATCATTTTCTGATACCATCCGAGCCTCGACCTAGTTACGAAGTTTCATTCAAAGCCGCTGCGTAATAACCGAAGTGCTCCTCGTCGTGTCCTGCTGAAATGAAACGAAAACGAGTAGAATACCAATGTTTGTGAACTAATGAGTCTAATAAACGGATTCCAAATGAGAATGATAAGAAGTTAAAGATCTAATTGATTGAGGAATAAGTATGAAGGAACATAGAAAGATGTAAGCGTCGAATTTTTTGAGTTACTTTTATTGACACTTGTGGATACTCTCAAGTAATACTTTTTTTAATAAAGAGAAAACTTAATTTACTAGTTTCATATCGTAGTACAAAATGACGGATAAAGTAACAACAAAATGATTTAATTTAAAACTTCTGAAATTTGTAAAGAAGTAAATCTAAATCTAAGAAGAAGCTGAAAGTGATCAACATGGCGGAAAATTCGTTGACATGTTCTCTCACGTACACTCAGCCTCAATTTTATTCAGGAGTAAATAATTTAATTTCATTGTCCAATACAATAATACATATGTAGAAGTTATTGATATCTCTTGATTTTAATATTTTCAGATGAGAAGAAGCGTAAACAATTGAATCATATAAAAGTCTAAGTAATCTTCGAAGAGAATCTCCATTCGTGTTTTCGTATAACCTATCACCAGAAAATTGGTATTCAAACCATCATCGTTTGGCAAATGGTCAAAATGTCTGGAAAAATTCACGTTTCACTGCATTTACTTCTAGGTCACGTTAACGATCGCACGATAAGTTCAAGTGCAGCGCCATCGGACATCCTCTTCTCCCTCCAAATCGTTGATCGTTTCCGGCCGGTAATTCACTGCAAATAGTGGCAATCTTCGTGTGCCACGTAATCATGACCCATCGCAGATCGATAAGACCTTGCAAGAAGTCAACGACAACTTACGACGCGTATTGTGACAGAAGAAACGACACTTAATTATCGATGCATAAGTAATCGTGTGATTTACAACCGTACAAGTATTGAGTAGCTCGGCTTTTCTAAACTCGATCTCCTTTTCTTCTGCCTCTTCCATGATAGAAAAAGTTTGATGGAAAGTTTTCCAACGGTAGGACTCGGTTAACGTCTGATAGTTGTACAAAAATACTTCAAGACACCGTCGATCCGTCGTTGCTTTCAAAATATTCTCACGCGTTTTACACGTTTTTCTAGTAAGTTCATTTTTCTTTAAAGTGAATCTAAGTCAGACCGATATCCAGATTCGGATTAAAGATTATTCAAATTGTTGAGGATGAAATGGCTCAATTTTTGATAAAACTTTCCATCTTTATGATTTCATATCTACTTTTGATATCCTTGTATCAAATTCAATTTCGTATAAACAATTTACTAGAGTTCGACAAACTTGCTACATTTGTAAAATTGGTTATCTCATATGCAGCAACCTACTACAAAGATTCTTTTTAAGATTTGACAGTAGACATTGGGTTGATTTCCGAGGTCTACGTGAACGAATGCTCCTTTGACCATCAAACGATCAATTCTTCGACGCCAATTGATAGGTGGATTCTTATTGTCGGATTGGATTCATTCACAGAGTCAGTCCTCGAAGGAAGCGGCGCACAGCACGGGCCAATGTATCGAACGGGTCAGAGCTTCGATTTTCGCGTCGTGACTCACTCTGATTGTTCTGCATACACGTATAGACGTTGTCACCTAGCACCGGTTATCGACGTGTCCGCTTGAAATACCGTTTTATAGCTTGGCCTGGGACGAGACAACGTTGTTTCCCATGTCACGCGACTGTCACACCTGTCAGACTTTCATTTAATTTTGACGATAATTATTCGGATGGTAGATGCAATCTTCCTATTTTTTTAATGCAAGTTTTATGTAGATTTGGATCTGCATTGAGTTGAAATATAAAGCATAAATTTAGGAGTGGTAATAGGAAAGCAAAGCAGATTTATTCATCGTTAATAGCGAGGGTAGACTGTCACTCGTTCAATTTGCTAATAATGATATATCGGTTTTAAGCGAATCTTTAATTAAAGATTCTAGTTAGTATGCATTGATATTGATATAAATAAGATATTAGATATCGAAAATAAAATAATTTAAAAAGAATTTGATTTTGCAGTTCTTGAGGCTAAGAGTACCTCTTAAACGTAATCAAGGAAACCGAAGATTAATCTATTCAAGCATTTCGTGACGAATCAAGCCCAACGTTTCGACATTCCGATTAATCCATCTATATCCAGCTGAACGTCACAAATTGTCTTGAGAATATCTGGCTTTCGTGCCAGTTATAAATACACACCGGTAAATTTCGGTGAAAATCGGTGCAAACCGGACCAAACGAAGGTTCGAAGTTCGGTTAAAAGAGCGTGACACGATCAACGACGGTGTCATCCAGTGGTTCAAACTCGTGGTGAACGTACAAACCCCTTTGTCCATGGGTTCGTTCAGGGTTAAGGTGACAGGCGGGCTTGAAGCTGAAGTTGCGAACGTTCGATACTAAATATAGAGGAGGCGCTTACGGGGTCAAATCAATAGGCATTCTGCATATACATGTATATACACGGTGCCTGGACGTCTGAATGTTGCACGTAAGCTTAAAATATCCACGTCTACGTGACTGAACAACTTCACGTTTGCACGTGTATGCATCGTTATCAGCGGCTACTTTTGAATTAAAAAGCCATCGCAAAGTGGTTTGTTCGAATTTTAAATTTCGCTTTGCGCTACTTTTGCATTAGCATGTATGAAAATCTCTCTTTCCTTGTCCATTTCATGAAGTATAAGCTCGTTTCTACAAAAAATCAGTCGGTCTAAAGAAATGAAAAGAATATCCACCGAAGAACATAATCGCGAAGAACCCACTGGCAATAAAAGATCACTCAGGGTGCAAAGTGCATTGCACAATTCCGTCTGTCACGCGATGTAACCGGTACAGAGGTAGCTCTCGCGTGAAGCCATACCCTACCCCTCTGCCGGCACTATTTTTTCCTTTCAATTTCCAACAATTAGATCGTTTCTACAAGTCTTCCAAGGACATCGCGTGCATGCATCCATTGACCATCGTATCTTACGATTTTTGGTTCAGTTTCAGCTGCGCTAACGCGAACAGACCGCGAGGATCAACGCGGCGCCATCCTTCACGGTAAAGATCGGATGTGGACGTTGTGCCATTCGACTGGCGGAACGGTAGCAACGGTGGTACCCGCGTGTTCGGGCGACCTGGCACGTGAGAGGGCATATTGGATGAACAGGGGTGATTGTCGGTGATGGACAATGAGCAGCCGCATCAGGAACTGGTCAAGTGTGTGGTCGTCGGCGATACGGCAGTTGGAAAGACCAGGCTGATCTGTGCCAGAGCCTGTAACAAACACGTGTCGCTATCGCAACTCTTGACGACCCACGTGCCCACTGTCTGGGCTATCGACCAGTATAGGATTTATAAGGACGTAAGTTCACGAGGTTCACGAGGATCACGTTGGATATCATTTGAGAATTGTACTGTTTAATTTTGCTTTAATCATGAGATGAGATTGCAGAGGTTTTAGCTTATAGTGTTGTTGATAGTAGATTTATGTAAAGGAGGTTAAATATCTATGCCGGTGGTTGTTCTCGGTTTATTAATCTTATTAATGTAAAATGTAATAATGTATCCCGTATTTCATCGACGCTGAGAGTTCCTGAATTCTTCGTTGATGTTGGACAGGTTGCTTGACGACAGGAGCCTAAAACTTGCGTGTTCAAATCTTCATTACTGAGAAATAAAGCAAGATTAAATATATATCTTCTATTTTTAATACAACAAATGTTCCATCAATTATTCTGAAAATTATCATTGAAATTTATTTAGATTTGTTTTCTAGGTTTTAGAGCGATCCTGGGAAGTAGTCGACAACGTAAATGTATCGCTACGACTCTGGGATACGTTCGGAGACCACGAGAAGGATCGACGTTTTGCGTACGGCAGGTAACAAATATGAGCATTAAAAATTCCTTTTTATAAATCTCCATTATTTTCCCCGAACCAATTTAACGATCAGTGCGCTTTTTAGTTATATTAAACAGTTCTTATCCTTTTCTTTAATTATTAATTTGTTGAAAAAAGACATGTCATCACGATTCATTCTAAAAGGCTGATTTTCATAAATATAGGTCAGACGTTGTACTACTATGCTTCTCCATAACCAATCCCGTTTCCCTGCGGAATTGCAAGGCGATGTGGTACCCGGAAATACGACGGTTCTGCCCGCAGACTCCAGTATTACTGGTTGGCTGCAAGAACGATCTACGTTACATGTATCGAGATGAAACGTATCTGAGCTATTTCCGTGACCGCAGTCCGTTCGTGAGGTATATTATCGTTTTCCAACTATAGCTAATTTTTTCTTTCTACATTTAGAAGCAACGCATCCTTCTCGGATCGAATTTTTCACTTTATATGGAACTCGTTCAAATGCATCAATGCTTCCTCAACGACGACCTCTTCGGGGAAGTGTGTCAAAGTATTGATTCCACGAATGCTCCGTGGGCCATTGCCGATCAAACACCGCCTTTGCGGTTCTTCTCATAGAGGAATTACCCTTTTTCAATTACTCAAAGCCATTACTCATACGGAGTATCAAGTGTTTAGTTTCGCTTATTGACTACATTGAAATGGTACTGAGCTGTTGCTCGAGAACATTTAAGCTAAGAAGTTAATTAGAATATTTAATCGGAAAGATATGTTTGGGCAAATTCCTTGCATAGCAAAGAATATTTGCACTTACGTAATAAAAGTTTTATTTCAATATTACATTCGACGATGAACGAGATTAATCGAGCCTTGACATATAAGAAACTCTCTAGGGATCTTCAAAGTTCATCGTGACTTTTGGGACCTTCTTTACAACCTTTCTAGTTAATTTTCTTATATAAGGATCCGTTTTATAGACAATGTCCTTTAGAGTTTATATTAATTTATATCTCAGTTGAATCGTAAATGATTTTCAGGGCTACGCGGAAGAGTGATCTAGTAATGCCTGACCAAGCTCGAGCTGTTGCGAGAGAACTCGGTGTTTGCTACTATGAAACCAGTGTTTTTACGTATTACGGTGTTAACGAAGTCTTTGAGAACTCGATACGCGCTGCCTTAATTGCGCGGCGACAGCAACGATTTTGGATGACAAACTTAAAGAGAGTGCAGAGGCCTTTGCTTCAGGTATATGAGCTTTCACGCAATTCTTGATAAAAAAATTCTTCATTTATTTATAATATTGATTATTACCAATTTCAGGCACCATTCTGTCCACCAAAACCTGTTCCACCAGAAGTATGTCTGGCGCCAAGCACCTACGAGGAGAATATGAAAACGCTGTGGACAAAGCCGGTTCACACTGATGTAACTTTGATAGCCGGAAACTGCACGTTTTCAGCTCATAGGTGTCTTTTAGCTGCTGCATCACCTGCGTTTCATCGCCTTTTCTCTATGGAACTTGTTCAGGAACAAACCCCTCGAAGTTCCAGTGAATCTAGCATGGTGTTCTTCTATTCTTATTATTTTTTAATTTTTTTATTATTTAGTATATTGTTTAATTTATTTGTTATATTTGTTAATTTTTATTAAGGTGAGTACATTTGGTGAAGCAACGGTCGGCGACTTCAATGACGACACCGAGTGCCTGATTCGTATCGATCAATCAAAACCCGCAAAGTGAGTTTCTGGCAAATCTGTTCAAATCTGTTTAAACTGCAATATACATGCTCAGAAAATTATTAAAAGTTTAAAATCTCGTATCATTAATTTTAATATTTCAAACAAATTGTGATTATTACAAAATGTAACAAAATTATATTTAATTTATTATTTATTCAGAAAAATGTAATAATGATAATAATATTAAATAATTTAATGGTACCACACTTTTGAATAGTGTGTAAATTTTAACTTATTGAATAATAAATTAGTTATGAATAATATTATAGGGTTTGGGAACAACTCAAGCGCCGTTCAAGTTTTCAAGTGTTGCCCACGATGGACAACCAAAAGAAATCTGCTGGGGCTACCAGAGAACTTAATCATCCTGCTTTTCAAAACATCCGTATTTGTTTGGTAAGTCTATACTATTGAGTATAGCTATATGCTCAACATGAATGAATTCATAAGAATTTCTCTAGCCATCGTATGATAAAGCTTTAATTACTATTTCTTTTGTGTTCACTTAATTGAACTATAGACTGAAAACACAAACGGAATGCAGCACCCAACAACCGTGGTGACGCTGTCTAAGTTAATTACATCGCAGGCGATGCAGCAGTGCTTGCAGTTTATTTATACAGGCAGTTTGGATAAACGGTATCACGACTTACAAGTACGTTGCGTCGATAAAATTATCTATACGGACTACTCGTGGACCATTTAAATTTCTTTTCTTAATTGATAAAGTAACTTGTATACATCCATCTTCTTTTTGGCCTCACTATTGCACAGAAAAAAGAAATTTTATAATTATAATTATAGTTATAATTTATATATGATAAATATACATAATAATTCAAATATATTTTGTGCGCTTGCTTTTTATAATACAAGTATAATCATGGGAAAATCTATATCAGTAGGTTTCAAAAGAATAGTTAATCTTTTTTAGGAAATTAGATCAGTGGTAGGAATAATAGAAAATTATATCAATAGACTTTTTTAATGTGTATGTACTCAGAGATAGGTTTACTATTTTTGATCAGAGATAAAGTTGTAAAGTAAATATGTATTTTCTTATTAGAGAAATATTTTCTATAAATAGTAAGTTTAAAATTAAATACGATGCCACCGGTACGGTATACGGTATACGGTAACTAACGCGGCTCTATTCTTTCAGACAGCTCCTATCGGGCTTCTACTGGTTAGTACAATGTGAAATACGTTTGCTGACACGAGCACACATACATAAATATGGACACATATATTACACGCACGCAGAGTATAGACATTTAGCTGAAAAGAATATCGATTCATAGATTTCTAAAATCAGTTTGTTAGGTCATTCTCACATTTATCACCATTTTAGCATGTTTCCTCTAAAAGAATAAGCTCCGTACAAATTTTAGATAACAGAAGTTGATATACATTAATAGTGATTCATAAAGTATATAAAAACTTAGGTAGAGGATTTAAATATATTTAGATACAAAAATCATTAAAATATAGAGGATTTCATTGATCATGGATGCATGGAAATCATTATCAATTTTTTTTTTTCAGTTAATAATCTAAAAGTGGACCTTAAAAAAATTCATTTCATAATCGCATGTTAGTATAGAAGAACATTGCTTAATTTTATCTTTTCTTACGTACAGGAAATTAGACAGGCGGCGGAATTCTTAGAGCTTCCGCAATTATTAATGGTGCTTGGAACTCTACAAACAAGAGACCAGTTTAATAATGATCTTAACAATCGGTATAAACAAGTGGTGAGACAACGTTTGGAAGACATTTGCCTAGAACAAGGTAGAATAATAATGAAAAAATTAATTTCAAGCAGTTGTTTCTTATAAAATATGGTTTTTTCTAGGACTCTTCGCTGATGTTATATTTGAATTAGACGATGGAAGTGTTCCAGCTCATAAAGCGATTCTCACTGCCCGATGTGATGTGATGAAGGCCATGTTTTCCGGTGATTTTCGTGAAAGTAGTGCAAAAGTAGTAAGTATCTCTTTCACAAAGGTTCTTTTATATATTCTGGCTTATAAAATGATAATAAAGTTCTAATAAAATTTGATTAATAGATAGTGTTTCCTGGTGTACGCGAGTACACATTTCATAAACTGCTGTGCTATCTTTATACGGATGAAGTGCCAGCAATTTCCTCTGCCAGATGCTTGAACCTCTTGGAACTGGCGAATCGTCTCTGCTTGCAACGACTGGTAAATTTGGTTGAGAGCAGAGTGATCGAAGATCTCGAGAGATTGTCTCAGAACGAGGGAAATGAGGCCGTAGAGAACTGTCTGAGATTGCTGGAACCGTGCAAGGTCAGCTTTTCTTTCAACGACCTATACATGATCAATGAGTCCAACTTCTGACAGTTCACTTGCCAATTTGCATGTCGTAGTTGCATAACGCCGATCAACTAGCTGACTGGTGTATGAACCACTTGTGCGTGAATTACAACAAATTGTGTAAGATGTCTCCGCGAAGCGTGCGCCTTCTACACCCAGAAAATCAAGAATATTTAAACGAGCATCGATGGCCTCCAGTGTGGTACGATTCTAGAATATAGGATTTACAAGTGGAACTTCACGATTTTAGCATTTTAATATTTACAGGAATAAAACTTAAAATTATGAGTTATTTTTTTCAACAGGTATTTAAAAGATTACGATTATTATCAAAAATGCTTGGCAGAACGGGACCGAGAGAATAAACCGACTTTAAAAAGGAATCGTAATCAGTCCGGTTGTTTATGCTTCTCCGGTACTAGCAAGACTAGAAGAGAGAGTTCAAGCGGCGGTGGAGGTACAGCCTCGTCAGCGAACAATGATCCGCAAGCCGAACGACCTCTGTTTGACTCAATCGAGTCAGGCACACAGGTTGTATGACAAGAGCCTAGCGGCTTACGCCGCTCTGTCCGATTCATTTTGGTCCTACCCGTGCTCATGGTCTTCATATGCACCATTTTTACTATTTTGATACTGCTACAGATTTATACTTAAAGAACGTTAAACGCCAACAACACGATCTATGTACTTGAGGATGCCTATAAAAAACCCGGTAATAGGTCCTCCAATTCTTTATCGATATTTGTCGTACGCAATGAGAATGAATATCTTTATATGATGTACGTTTCTTGATTCTTCTTCCTGGTATTCTTTATCTTGGAAAAGGTCCAGTTTAAAAGAAAGCCATAAGAATTATAATTTCACGAAAACTGTTGTGACCATATATTTTGTACAATTTCAGTGGAGAAAAATCCGATATCCGTACTCTTGTTAAGAAATGTATTTAAAACTGTGTACTACCGATTCTTTTAGAATTTCACACAGGCGTCCGTCGTTTATAAGCGAATAAAACAAGATGGTGCCTTTCGTTGACGACTTGTTGCTGCCACAGCGACATTAAACAGGGTGACATTGTTCACCGAAACAAATTTTAACGTCTCTTTGATTGTATCGTAAATACGGATTGCAAGAAAAAAGAGATGAATTACAATATAAGTTGAAAATAAGTTGCATCCAATTGTCCGTCAGTGAGCACGCGTTTCTCGATGCAGGGCGTGAATAATTCAAATTGCTCATTTACTTTCATTACATAACAAGTGATTTTATTCGAGAGTTACTTCAGTGGCTGGGGAGATCCTTGAAGTTTTCTAAATTTTTATAGTTAATATAACAAAAATATTGTGCAATATTTTTATTTAGTCTCAAATTTTTCATTCTCAATTTCCTAATGAATTTCAAAATACGTCAAGATCTAATTGTATTTTCTATCAAATCTAAGAAATCTTGAGTAGTATTTGCTTTAATAATTATTATAATTTCTCTTACTCCTCTTTGTCTAAAATTTCAGTTTATTTTTACAAAAAAAAAGGGTAAGAGAAAAAACGAGGATTAGGACAAGCCAAGCCGCTGAAGAAAAAGAATTATCAAGAGGCGATAAAAAATCGCCATACTTTTATCAATGCGTGTTAGACTGAGAAAAAAAACGAGCAATAGCTTTAGTCCATAGTAGAGCGTAATTATACTAATGATACATATAGTTCTGTAAGAAATAAGTAACTATTAATGATAAATCAACGCGGATTTTTACATTGTTTGTACAGTATCCAATGACAGGCTATGCTTCATCTTTTGAGTTTTCTTCGACGAAATTACGGTTCCTTCGAATGGGAGGAGACCTGTCGTATTTGTACTATTTTGTAACGATTTATGGCTAAGCGAAATTACTATTCCCGTTAATTGTCGATTATTATTAAATGATGAAAACACGTGCAGTTCAGTCGACGTAAGTGGGATTGTCCAGTAAAAACTGCAACATATCGATCACGGTAATGGGTTACTGCTAGAATTATAAAATGTGATTACGTCGATAAGAATAATTAATAACTAATAACAAGGAAACAGGAGTGAATCGATCATTCGTAATGACTACGTAATTACGCGTATCTAATATTCGTAAGATATAGAGTGATGCTATATTAGATGTACTTCTATATAACGATGAATCCTCGCGTATATTATATATTTTCCTGGCGACTTGTACTTTATAAGGCACAAATTGGTCCTCGTACGTCGAAAAAACGTAATCATACATCATTAAAGCAGATTGCGATCGTGCATATAAATCCTCAGTTAGATAAAAGTAATCTGTAATATTAACGATCGGTATTACAGACATTTAATATTCGTTAGATCATCCTTTGCCGTGATCATTGTTCAATCAATTTCGTGTATCATTGTGAAATGAAAGTATGTTTGAATGCATGAATGAATGTAAGAAAACAGAAGAGAAAAATTAAAAATTAAAAACACGCGGGGAACTCTACATCATATATCTCAAGTATACTGGTATGTGCATAACCACGCGTGATGTACGTTCGTAAAATTGTCGTTTGGAATGATTTGAATTGAAAAAAATTTCAGTTGAAATATCTGAAACATGTTGAAAAGAAAGATAGTTAACTATATACAGTCATAAGATGTATTACTGCCTGATCTATAAGAAATTAATGGAAATAACGTACACACGAGAAAAGTATGTCTGTCATGCGAGTTAGAACAATGTCCCACTTGTACGTCACATCAATTTTAATGTCAATGTTATCCTTCATCGTCCTTAAATGTATATTTTATACTGAAATCAGTACTCGTAGGGTTAACAACATAATTATCTATACGAAGCTATAGAGCGATAGGGAATCCAAAACTTTATTTTTCACATGCATTTTAGTCAAAATTCCCTTCAAATTTAGGTTAAATGTTTGTCCATGCGTACAAGGCATTTGCGGGCATTTAAACTGTAAGTGCGACGATTGTAAACATAAAGTTTAACGTAAAAAGTAATGTCGATGAATAGAGATTTTTTCTATTGTCATCTTCTTCCAAGTAAAAATTTCTCAATTTCTCAAAGTACTTATATTTGTTTTGTGTTTTTTTCATAAAAATTTTGAATTTACCACACTCGCAAAGCCTTCGATTCTAAATCGATAAAAATTGTTGGGATTGCGACCTCTGTTTTGAATCATATAAATTAATCGGTTTGTTACTAAATTGTAGTTGAATTTAAGTCACTTGGTCGGATTAAAATTTTAAGCATAGGTATCGATTAAGGAATTATAAGGTAATTTTAAACATTTCATATTAACAAATATTTGAATTTTTTCAAAAGATTTGATATACGTTAAAACTTATGACTAATTCTCAAAATTTCTATATCAAGATACCTAAATACGATTCATGTTTCAAATTGCTTTAATTATATCTCACTATTTATCACGAGTTATTTTCAATCTCCATAATCATAAACACAATTTCGAATTTAAACATGCCCTAATACTTAAATACGTCAAGATTTGACAAATGTATGATGGACGCAAGTGAATATTACTATCGAATTTTAACAAACATAAAGTTTTGTAATTAACTTTAAATATTACGTTCAAGAATATCTTGAGAATCACAAAAAATGAAAATAAAAAGCAAAGCGATTGTTTGAACATTCCGACTGACAATCCATATTGATTTTCAGATATCTTGATGACCGTTAATCGAAATAATGACACATGTCAGATTTTATTTTACCCGCCTAAAAGCAAAGCTGTATATACATATAAATGCATACCGCTTCGAGAAATATGATTTTTATCTTAAGCTAACTTTTAAGATTCTATTTTCAAATGCACAGGAGATAAATAAATTTAATTTTTAACTAAGGTTGGTATTTTTCAAAATTGTGTTCGAAAATCCTCTGCATATATTTATAATATAATAGATCTCTAGAAACCTCATGCCAAATTTCAATAATGCAAAAATATATGTAGCTATTATATAATTATATATATAATTATATACTCTATATACTGGGAAAAGAATAAAAATGTTTTTCACTTTCCAACATAATATCAAACTAAATTAGAAAAGTTATATATCTATTATTTCCCCCCCCTTTTTTTTTTTTTTTTTTTTTTTAGATTTATTACATTTTGTTCTATAGTGATTTATGTTAAAACATATAACATAAACTATACCATAATTATACAATAAATTGTTTGATATTTAAAATAAAAGATATAATGTCTAATATAATACCTTTCTTAAGGATAAATTCATTTATTCTATTTACAAAATGATTAAAGATATAAAAGATAGGATGTATACTTATAATGGTGTTGACAATGTTATCATTGAAGACTTAATTTCATCAAAAAGTTCTTTGTACTCTGCATGTTCTTTAATAAGTACCATAAGACTGCCCCTTTTTACACCAATAGCAGCACCAATATCTAGTCTTGAAGGTGTATAACAATATGGAATGTTCTTGTCCTCGCAAACAATTGGTAAGTGGCACATGATTTCCAGTGGAAATACATCTCCAGCAAAAACTATTAATCTAATGAAAATGAACAAAGAATTTCTTGGTTAAGAAAACTAGCAAAAAATTAAAATACAATTATATGTGAAAATTCGTTTTACCCATGTTCTCCTTTACGAAGATGCTTTTGAACATCTTTTAAACCATTTCGCAGATAAGATTTATGTTTTGAGGCTAAAATGGTTGTTACAAATTATTATAGCACATGTTTCATAACAAATTTCTTTTAAAATTATTTTATGTAAAAAATTGAATACTTTATAAAGAATTACCTTTCCTAATACATTTATAAATTTTTTTGGTTAATTTTTTTGGAGCCATGGGTTTGGCTATAGAATTTGTATACCGCAGTTTTTCTTCATAACTAATTTCCGTAACATCTCCACTTTCTCCTTCTTTTATACTATCATCAACTTCCATTTTAACTACAATTTGTTCCATTTAATACATTAATAGTAATTATTTTCGGTGAAAACAATTTACCTTATTTTACCCACGTGCTATTCCACTCACAGAAACGACGCGTTTTGGTAGACGCAAATACTAACTTGATCTTAAATCAGTGTGACAGCAGAATAGGTTATATAGTTCTCGAAGTAAAAATGAAATTTGTTGTGTATTAGTTCATATAATAAAACTTTTCTTGAGAATGTTGTATGTAGTTTTAAAGCAAAGAAATGCTTTTTAACTTCTGTGATCCTCGTTTAAGACCAGAAATTCAGTGTAGTACTATTAACACTGAAGGATACGAAGTTAGCAATTTAATAAATGATTCCGATAAAGGATTTTTAGCATATGCTTGTATTAAGCCTCCTATAAATATCGATATTACTTTTTTATGTAATGTATGTATCAATCATATTTTAATTTGGCCACAAGTTGGTTCTCAAAAGTCATCAGGTTTTCAATTGTATGCCAAAACAAGTAATGATACCAGTGTACCTTATGCTTTATTAGCCACTGGATTTTTAGACTCTACAAATGCTGGATTATTATTTTATCCATCAACAATTAACCATGAAACTATTTCTGCACCATCAAATTTTTTAAGACGTTATATAAAACCCTCTTTGCATTACTTAACAACGTACATAAATAGTTTAAGAATATGCATATGTAAAACAGAAAATTCTGTACCTGCATTAGGTAAGATTGAGGTATGGGGAACAGTATCACCACGTTGCGGGAAAGATACTGCAGCCAGTATTCTTATTCTGTGGTCCAAACAACAATCTTGTTTAGTTCAATCTGTGGAAAAGTCTGAAAATACAGATTCACTTGTTACTGCCACACATGATAAGTAAATGTGAAATTATTTCATAGTGTAACTAATACAAATTAAATAAATTTTTTAGTAACTCTATATTTATAATCGTTTTAGAGAAATATTGGAATCAAATTTACAAGTTCCAGAATGTTTCTTAGATGCTATTACTTATGATATTATGACACAACCAATTCTGTTGCCAAGTGGAAAAATAATTGATCAAAGTACATTATTAAAACATGAGGAAACTGAAGCAATATGGGGAAGAAGATTGACAGATCCATTTACTGGCTTACCATTTAGTGAAGAGCGTAAACCTGTTATAGCTACTGCTTTAAAAATAAGAATAGATAAATTTTTACTCGAAAATAGCAATGTAGAGGAAATTAAGAAATTACCAAGAGTGTTAGGTCGTGCATTGCCTTCAGATGTAACAAATGAAAAAATAGCAGAAGTTCCTAAATATTTGTTAAAAAGAAATATAATTAAATCTTCAAACAATAACAAACCAAAATTACAGTGTTCTGTAATAAGCACACAAGCAAACAAGAAAGTTTGTCATAAATTACCAGTTGTTATAACATCTAAAAAACGAACTATTCCT